TTGGGTTTACATAGGAAATCTTTTTCTTTAGGAAAAATTGTGCTATCACAGTTTTACACCTTAAGCCAAGTCTTTCTACTAAGATTTGATCTTTGAAATGATATGCTATGAATGAATCTAACAACAAATCAGACCTCAGGGAAGGGTCGAGAAAAGATAAACATTTAGGTATGTTTGTCATAGGTGACATTCATACTTGCCCTTCTCCCCAGTTATTCCTACCTTGTCTGTTGGCTTGACTCTGACCCATGCTATTTGGGGTTCAGCTGAGAAATCTCAGGGAACAAGGCCAAGACTCAGAGTCTAGGCCTAAAACAGCTGTTTAGAGGATCTACTGCCATAACCAGGGGTGTGAGACTTATGGGAGAAATCCATGCTGGCTTTGCATCCATTTTCTTTGACAAAAGATATAATTTTAATAATTAGTAAAACAATGACAAGAACAACAGCAAAACTTTTCATTGCCCCATACAATATATAATGTTATGTTCTTTTGTAAGATAACATTGCATTTTTATTGACTATCTAAAGGTTGTCTGACATTATGCACCTGCAGAGAAAGTATACATATTTACTAAATAATTTTAAGGCTTTCACTTTCTAGACTTTTATTCTAACAGTTGAAAAATGCCCTGACTCTGTCATCTAAGGAACTAAATAAAAATTTTATGGAAGTGCATTCTCATTTCAAATCAAGGACAAATCTGTAGAGAGGACTGATTTCCATGAGTGAGAAACAATGGAATTGCTTTTCTAAGTACTTGTGTAATTACATTTTTGCTAAATTAATTGTCATTTCTTTCTGATGGTTAATTTTCTCAAAGAAAAACAATCGAATAAAATGATTAGATTGACTATTTCTTTTTTTTTTTTTTAACACATCTTAACTTATTTTTCTATCTCCTTTCCTTCTCTTTCTTCTCCTCACCCTCCATCTCTTCATCCCCTGCCCATTTGAGACAAATCTCCCTACTTCTTAGCATTACCTTTGATTTTGTACCTTGCTTATAATTTAGGTTTCTCCTGCCAGAGAAAACATGAAATATTTAAGCTTGTGTGTCTGGCTTATTTGACCTAATATTATGGTCTCACGATGCCTCCATTTTCTTACAAATGATTCAAATTTATTTCTGTTTCTGGCAGAGTAGTACTCCATTATAGTCCATATTTTTTTACCATCTTTTCTGTTCATGGATCCATCAACTGCTTCCAATATTTATCTAGTGACTGTTTCTGACCAAATTGAATCCAAGCTATTTACTGCTAATATTATTCATTGGTTCTAAAATGCAGACATAAAAAAATCTTAAAACTCTAATTATGAGATTCATTTATAGCTGGTGGTATGCCATTGGCTTACTGAAATCATTTCTTCTTAATCTCTCAAAAAGCAACCTTATTTCATAAAATCACATTGCATTTAGATTGTTCAGTGCAGTCAATTCAGAAGGTAAATCACCAGAAGAGAGAAACTTTGGGCACATAAGTAGTCCCTACAATGGGGGACTGCTTCACCAGCAAGCTGCACTCAATTCTACACCAGAGGGCTTCTTCTTTGTTGGTGTCATCTCTGTTCCACTTTTCATGTGGAGTTTTGATGCCTATGAGGATTCTTCTGTATGGTAGTTTATCTTTACCAGGGAGGAGTAGCATTTCATGAACCTTAGCCCTTACAGCAGAAATTTATTAGGAGACTAATAATGTAATTACAACATTTAAGTTTTAGAAGCAAACACAGTGACACACTTTTACATAAACAATCATTGAATCATAAAGTTTAAAGGCTGAGCTTGACTACAAAAATATTCCAGTTTTTAGATAACAAAGGGAGATTGGCTTAGATTTAATGAGTCAGTCCTACCCTTCAGTTTAAATAACAGAGTACGACTGTTGCTCAAGAGAACACGTGGTAGGTCATTAACTTAATTATCTCAGTCATTATCTCAGGCTGCTATGAAATGTCAGTAAGAAATACACAGAATTCCAAAATAAAATTTCTGTCTCTAGCAAAGATGAGATTTTTATCTAGTCTGAATCTCAAATACAAACATATGTAACTTAAGAAAAGGAAAAGAAATAATTTTAAAATCTAACATATATCTAAATTTAACACATATCTATATTAACATATATTTAATATCTAAAATTAAACATGCATGGGAAGCTTACCCTAAGCTTCCCATGAGTTTTCATGATAAAAGATCTCTTATCTTGTACTGGGTCACTGCATTATTCATAATTTTTGCAGTTTATACCCTGGAAAGAGACCTTAGTAAAATTCTATTTTTCTGGCAAATTGCACACTTTTGGTCAGGGTGAATATGTCAAAACTTCTCACTGTACTAGGAAGATTGACATAGAAAAAAGTCTTTGAGACTAGTGATCTCCCAAAAAGTCATGAAGAAAGTACTTTTGTACATGTGCTTTCATGGGAAAGATCATTAAAAAAAAAAAAAAGCACCCTGATTTAATAGAACAGTGAAATGCACTGGCTACGCTAATGCAGGCCTTAGGGATCATATGTATTTATTAGTATTCCTGGAAAATACAGAATGTAAATTATGAGTACAAATTTTGTTCTAAAATCCACATTATTTGCTAATATGACACAAGTGTTTACATAAAATATAAATTCATACTAGAGAATTAAGTTATTCCATTTATAATTATTGCAGGAGGCTAAAGCTACTTTAGTTGTGGATCAATCTCTAGGGAAGGGTTCCTCGCAGGAGCTTAGGGTAGAGAGAAGAAGCAGAAATATAAACATAGATGAGTAAGTGACTAGTCTTTACAAGAATTGGAACTCTTAAATTGTGCTTTTTACTTTTAGTGTATAGGTACATGCGCACATGAGCACACACACACAATCATATCAATTGGGATCTGGTATTTTACTTTAGCTATCAGTGGAGTTTAAAAATATGTATTCATATCCATTGTGAGCTGCTTCTACTGCGATCATGCAGGTCCTTGTCATAATCCTTTCCCAACTATGTAAAACAGGTCATGTGACAAATATTTTAGATTTTCTGAGGAGAAAGAGAATGTATATATCACCATTTATATCAATAAATAATCTTCAAAAAATTTTTTTTAATATTTCATTTATTTGGTACAGCATCTTGATACGCAGCTCAAACTACGGCACATCTGGGGTTCTGGGGCCGGCACAGAATCGAACCTAGATTCTGTTGCTTGCCAGGCAGGTGCTTAAACCACCGAGCTATCTCCTCAGCCTCGATAAATAATCTCGTATTGAACTTTAAATAATGATTATTCATGCTAACAAGCCGAAGTACAAAGTTTTTTCATCTGTGCAAAGTGCAGGTGACTCCATATGTTTCAGAGTTTTATTTTGCTTTTACTTTGAAGACCCAAAGTGATGGGAGTTGTTTTGTAATAAAATCTTTCTTCTTGTCTTAGGCATTGCCCATATCTTTATTGGGAAGACTTTTTTTTGACAGTTTAATTTCTTAGAAGTTCTAGACATTGACATTAGCAAATCATTGGGGAAGGGGGAGTTTATTGTGCAACTTTACACAACTGTGACTTTTTAAATAGGACAAGCACTAAGTAGTGTCTGAGATCAGTGTCCACAACGAGCTTCAATCACTGGCACCATAGTGGGTTTGCCCCACAAATGCCCTCTTGGTGGATTCTTCTTTAGTAATGCTCCCTAGGTTAAGCAGGAAGGAAACTGCTCAGACTCCAGTCCGTGTAACTGCATGAACATCAGAGAAATGTTCACCTCATCCTGTTCACCCCCTAAAACTATAAAGAGACGCTAGAATGCTGGGGACAGGTGACTCAATCAATGTATTTTCTGAATAGACACAAAGGAGGGCTTGAAGGCCAGGCTCTGCCATTGGAGATTCACCGCTCTGGCTTTTTCAAGGCCTTTCTGTTCACTTAGAAACTAAAAACACATTTACTTCTCCGTATCGGCGTAAGAAACGGTTAAGGGTCACAAAGGAGAGCGAAAACACTCGTGGCAGCCGTTATTTACGGGAATTAGAGATTTTCCCTTCTTGTAAATAGGGCTCCTTTCATTCTTGAGCTAGGCTTAGGCCAGAGGGTTCCCAGCCGAGAGTGGCTTCGGCCACCAGATGGCACTGACCTGCAAACAAAGGAGGAAACACAGAGGCACTGACTTTTTAAAAGCGTTGTGCCACCGCGTCGCCTGCCTTCGCGGAGTCAAGGACTCTGGGGATGGAGATTCACTTGCCTCCGCGCGGCGCGTCCCTGTCACAATGTGTGGCTTAGGTTTCATTGCGTGGCTTTCCACATCTTAGGCACGCGCCCTCGAGGTGAATCTCCCGGGGAGGGGTGGGTGTGGGGAGCGCGGGCGCTCCCGGGGCGCCGTCATGTGATCCCGGGATGAGGTGGAGTTCGGCTTTAAGGGGGCGTCTCTTCCCATCTTCTCCAATCTTTAGGGTTTGAGCAGGAGAAATAGCAGCGGATCTTCGCGGCACTCCCGGCTCCCTCGGAGGACACTGTTCCCGCTTTAACGAACGGGCGACAGAGACGGATTCGGGATTCGAAAGAGGGTAAGTTTCAAGTTCACGCTTTTTAAAGGGACTTTTGAGGAATCTCTCCTTGATGAGGAGACAGATGAGAGAGGAAAGGAAGGGATGTGACTGCCAGAAACTGGGTTGCAGCGAGGAGCAGCCTTCTGCCTCTCCTCAGAGCCGAGTGGGCAGGTGTCGGACGGGCCAGATGTGCGGGCAGGTGTCGGACGTGCCAGATGTGCGGACAGGTGTCGGACGCGCCAGATGTGCGGGCAGCTGCGGGTGCTGCCGGGTGAAGCAGGAGACCGCGCTCGGCGAGCAGCGCCCTTCCGAGTCCGCGCTCGCCAGCTGCCTGCTGCCGCGGGTTTCCGGAGGGGGCTCCGGGTCTCCCTTTCCCGAAGCTCCCTAAAAGCCCGGGAAGCTGGAGGCTGCGCTCGGTCTTCCCCGCGCCTAGCTGTCTTGCACATTTTTCTGGAGCCGCTGTCCTCCGGCGGGAGTTTTCCTCCATTCTCGGGCTGGGACGCACCGGGAAGGGTGGTAGGACTGGCCAGCCATCTGCCCTCGCCTGTGCCCGGCGGGTGGAAGTGCAGGCTGACTCCGGTCACGGACCTCTCCCCACTTTTCTAGGCTGGACTCGAACCCAGATGCCCCTGAGCCGAGCTCTTCAACTCTGTCCCTGCGTTCTGGCAGACACCCAGGTCCTCTGCTCCTATTTCTGAGTTTTAATCATGGGACTCTTTAGCTTGCTTTGGAACGCCTAATGATGGACCGTGCTAGTTTGGGAATGTAGAGGGAGACCCTAGAGAATGGAGTCTATCCCAGTGACCCGTGGATCCCCTGGAAGAACGGAGAGACTGGGCTAATGAGAGAGAGAATGGACGTCGTGTGCTTGCTTGTTTGGGGTTGGTGTGGTGCTTGCTGTTTTGCCAGTCTCTTGTTACTTCGGGTAGGGAGGTTTTCTGAGAGTCGGTGGGTGCATATGCACCAGTAGGAGACGAGCAATAGAAGAGATTCGGTAACTCAGAGTGTGGTAAAACATGCAGGAAAGCACTCCCGCTGGAACTGCGACCGAATACATCTCATTGCATTCTTTGGTAACTCCTGGAGCACAGGGAAAACAGGAGAGGCATGTGCTCTCTTCCTTCCTCGCTTCCTCCCTTCCTCTCTTCCGCTTTTCCTGCTGTCCTCCCTCCCTCCCCTCCTTTCTTCCTCCCTCCCTTTCCTTCTCCTTCTCCCTGTCTCTGTCTCTGTATCTTGGGCTCTGTCATTCTCTCTCTTTCTTGGCTCAAAGATGCATCATGCCCATCTGGATCCTAGGCAAAAGGTAACTCCCGGGATGGCGCATGCAGGCAGGTGGGGGAAGCACAGAGCTAGTCTGTCAGAACTGGGGCTGGAGAACAGTACCAAGGTCTTCCACAGGTTCCTTGGTGAAGTAAGAGACAGAGCAGAAAGCTCTTGGGTCTAAGTCCACACCCATGGCCACCACTTTCTTATTCTTTCCTCATGTCTCAAGGCAGCTGTCTGTTGAACATGCCATTCCCCTGTGCAAGGAGGGGAGGATTATATAATTCCTTTAGATAAGCTAGCAGTAAGTTTGAGAAGCTGTATGTAGCAACATTCGCATGTGTCTTCCCAAACAAAAGAGATGAACTGTCCTCAGTATTAAAAAAAAAAATTTTTTTTTTGCAGCAATTAATGGCCAGAGAGCTGTCTTTTTCAACAGGAAGAACACTGTGAACTACAAGCAGAGAAGGCTCAGAATTCTAATTGAAAATAAGGACAAGATTTCCCCCTACAAGGGGACTCACTGGCCAAGTGGTGGTGTATGTAGTATCTCTATTTTGTCTCTGTCTGTGAGATTTAATAGCATTAAATTTTTATAATGTCTGTACTCATAGAGTTTATTTTACAGGTAAATACCAAATTGTTTACTTTTGCAATGGCAAGATATGTAAAGTCTATTATTTTCTCCTCCAATATTTGGGATTTTATAGTTGTTCTTTCCATGCTGAATGCAGTCCATGAAATAGTCATATGTCTTCTTCATGCGCCACTCTTTGGTCTACCTATTAAGCCATCTTCTCAGGCCATCAGAGGCCTCCTCTGAGGTCACTAGTAATTTGCGATTCTCAACCACGCCCGTCTTCCCTCCCTGCTTTCTTGTTAGCCACAGTATTTATTATCAGCTGGCATACTGTATCTTTCACTTTATTTTCCTTGTCTTTCTGTGCCCACGATACAAGAAACACAATACAAAGGTCACTGTTCTCTGCTAAAGCAAAGATAGTCACAAACTAGGTGTTTAAAAAAATACGTGTTGGAGAAATGGATGTTCTTTCAGGCACAGTTCCTTTTTGTAATACAAAGTACTGTTTTCCTTATCTACCTGACCTTATAGAATGACTACTGTAATAACTACTAGTGTTGCATTTTAAAAGACTATGATGGAATTTAGCTATCGATGTTAAGATTAATTTTGATGAGGATTTACTCTTCCAACCATGCATCTCTCTGTCATTCACATATTTTCATACTAAGTCTAATGTTTTCAAGGTACTATGAAGCATGAACAATGCCTATGTTAAAGACCTCTTATTAAAAAGGATGGGAGCCAATTAAGAACTCAAGGAACTATGTAGTGCTTCGAGGGACTAGGAGGATGTGGATTGATGGTGAAATAGAAAGAACAGCAAGGAAGGAGAATCACAGTGGTGGAATGCAGTTATGTTTGGTGGACTGAATCAGTTAGCCTGCCTAGGACAGCACTCACACTGGGGTTGGGAGAGTGCGGAGCAGAGAGAAAGCATGTGAAGGGGTTGACATGTCAGGCTAAAGAAGGGCAATAATCCATAATCCGAGTGTCTCATACTAGGATTTTCATTCACCTGGTGAAACTTGTTGACAGGCAGCCACGAAGAGCTGTAAGATAATGAGGCTGTAGGTTGCTGCTGTGCTGTTAGAGCAAATGAAGAAAGACTCATAACTAACTGATGTTAAACATCTTTATAGTAATTTGAATATGAAATATAATTTTCTGAAATTGTCTAAGAAAGTGAGGAATTTTAAAATAGCTTTAAAATTACAACCAGTTGCAGTGCCAAGCATAAAGGTGCCTACCCATAATCCCGATACTGTGGGAAGTAGTGTCACTCAAGTTTGAGTCCTGCCTGGGCAGCTTAGTAAGACTATGTCTCAAGTTAAAAAGATTTCAAAATGTAACTCAGTATGAAGCCCTGAGATCAATCCACAGGGACATAACAAAAGTAAAATAAAAATTATTACTCACTCCTCCAAAGTTTGTTGTCACACCCAAATTGATGCTACATGATCATTCTTCTCTCTGCCTTTTGACTTTATAAGAAGACCCGTGATTACACCATTAGTGTTAGGCTTTCTCTCCAGGGCCTTCCACAGAGGAAGAAAGAGCTATATTTCTAATGTTTCCACTTGAAGTCATTCCATTACCATCCCTTAACACTTCATACCTTGTCCACAACAACTCTTGTTTTATTGTTTTTCAGTTTTATGAGGCTAAAGTGCAGACTTATAACAAAAAACATACCATGTTCTAGATAGTAAAAACACTAAGAGAAAGATTTATTAGAGGAATCATCTAGAAAGCAAATGCATTGCTCGTTTCACTGAATTTCTCGTTTTCTCTTCAGTGAGGTAAACCCACACAATCTTCTTTACTGTTCTCATATAAGAAAGGAAGAAGTGCAATTCAGTTTCTTTTCTTTTTTTTTAAACATAGTCTTTAGTAAGTTGATGTATATCAGTGTTTTAACATGATAGCCCAATGTTGCAGCAAGGTTGCAAAATTGAAGACTCCTGGTATTTTCATATAAACATTATGAATGACAGCACACTTACATTAAGCATTACACTCAGGTCCATGAAGACTCTGACAGCTGTCACACCTTTGAACAGCAAAGATGTGCGTGCATGGACTGAGTAGACAGTGGAAGCCTCACCACTGAGCTGCGATTCAATTGGTTTCTTAACCCAGCCACAAGAGTCTTATATTTAACATCAGAAATGTTATCTCACTTATCTCTTCAGTAATCCAGAAAAAAACTAGAGATTTTTTAAAAAGAGCTTTTAATCCCTACAAGTCTATTTTCTGTAATTCATCTTTGTAGTAAGATGAGAATATTTATTGCAAAATGTTGTAGGTAATACAAATTGAAATGTATATGCTTGTATGAGATACACATATAGTCTGGTGGGAAGGGAGGCTATTTACACAGGTAAAGCCCTTAGAAATCTTTTGAATGCATTGAACAAATTGACAAAAAATCCTGGAGGCTTTCAGAGGCTCTGGCACAAAGCAAGACTTCTTGAAGGTGGCCTTCTCTATAGTTGATATCTTGCTGCTTTTTGTAGGAAATTAATTCCATTTAATTAAACTTCTATTCCTCATGATGATGTGACTTTTTAAAAAATAAAGTACATCTTTTGGTCCTACTTTTAGCTTCTACGGTTAGATGTAATATTCTAAGCATGGAGCCTGTGTTCTACAAACTACATGTTAAAATATGGTAACAATATCTCTGGTATTCTAATATTTTCTAGATAAAACATCATTTAATCTTCCCACATTCCCTTTTATGGCAAAGTTTTTCTGGTATTTTCCTGAATTAATCATCTTCCTTTGAATATACTTGTGCTAAATATATCTGTCTTAAAAAGTAGTTCATTATATAGTGAACTATTCTTACTACTTGACTTGTACATTAATTTTACCGTTTGCATAGTGTAATGAATAGTTATGTATGTGTAACTATTCTGCCTTGTTTGTCTTGTATTTTGTACTTTGTGCATTTAGTTGTTATACACTCACATTTTTTGTAGTGTTTCAGAATGTTCTGACGTACTGTTGTATAAGTTTTGGGGAGGCATGAGATTTATATACACCTTATTAAAGCATAGATCACTGAAATTTAATGTATAATCAAATCTCATTAAAATATTTCAGGAAGTTTAAAATTCAAAATGTTTGATGAATCTTCCTTTTACAGAAGCACTATATTTTATTTACTGACTTCAATGTCTTCACTTTAAAGAGTTCCACAAATCAAAATTTATTTTGACTGCCCTTAGTAAAATTAGTAACAGAATTGGTCATTTTCTCTTTATAGGTTTTTCAGTTCATGGGAATGAGGAACGTGGAGTAATTTTGGCAAATGGATTCCAATAAAGAAAGGAAGAATAAGCCAAACAGTTAAAATGCTTTGAAGAAGCATACTGCACATTTGTTTCATCTGTGACAACAAAAACAATCAAAATGAATTCAACTTTTTTTCCCCAGGTTGAAAATCATTCGGTTCACCATAATTTGTCAGGAAAGAATTCCATGTCTTTGACTTTTGAAAATAATGACTGTCATCTTCCCTTGGCTGTGATATTTACCTTAGCTCTTGCTTATGGTGCGGTGATCATTCTAGGGATCTCTGGAAACCTGGCTTTGATCTTAATCATCTTGAAACAGAAGGAGATGAGAAATGTCACCAACATCCTGATTGTGAACCTTTCCTTCTCAGACTTGCTGGTTGCCATCATGTGTCTCCCCTTCACATTTGTCTACACGCTAATGGACCACTGGGTCTTTGGTGAGACAATGTGCAAACTGAACCCTTTTGTGCAGTGCGTTTCAATCACCGTGTCCATCTTCTCCCTGGTTCTCATTGCTGTGGAGCGACACCAGCTGATCATCAACCCACGAGGGTGGAGGCCAAACAACAGACATGCTTACATAGGCATCGCTGTCATCTGGGTTCTTGCAGTAGCTTCCTCTCTGCCCTTCCTGATCTACCAAGTGCTGACCGATGAGCCATTCCAAAATGTAACGCTGGATGCCTTCAAAGACAAGTTGGTCTGCTTTGATCAGTTTCCATCAGACTCTCATCGGCTGTCTTACACTACTCTTCTCTTGGTGCTCCAGTACTTTGGTCCACTCTGTTTTATATTTATATGCTACTTTAAGGTAAGAAAACCTTTTCTTGCCATTATTTCCTTCTTACTTTCTTCTGTAGAATTCCTCATTAAACGAGTGGTTCTGCTTGAACCCATTTTTTTTTTCTTTATAGATATACATTCGTTTAAAAAGGAGGAATAACATGATGGACAAGATGAGAGACAATAAGTACAGGTCCAGTGAAAGCAAAAGAATCAATGTCATGCTGCTGTCCATCGTGGTAGCCTTTGCCGTCTGCTGGCTGCCGCTTACCATCTTTAACACTGTGTTTGATTGGAATCACCAGATCATTGCCACGTGCAACCACAACCTGTTGTTCCTGCTGTGCCACCTCACCGCGATGATATCCACTTGCGTCAACCCCATATTTTATGGATTCCTGAACAAAAACTTCCAGAGAGACCTACAGTTCTTCTTTAACTTTTGTGATTTCCGGTCCCGGGAGGATGACTATGAAACAATAGCCATGTCCACAATCCACACAGATGTGTCCAAGACTTCTCTGAAGCAAGCAAGCCCAGTTGCATTTAAAAAAATCAACAATGATGAGAATGAAAAGGTGTGAAAGTGCTTGAAGCATATGGTCTCACTGTCCTCCGTTTAAAAGCAAGTTCAGCCTGCCGCATAGTTTCATGACCTGCTCTCCCAAGGAATGCAGTTGAAATCATTTGAGACAGACCAAGTTTCTTGTCTTGCTTTTTACTGCTTTTGTCATGGTTGCTGTTAATACATTTGGAACAAAATGTGTGGAATCTCCTGGCAATAGTTTTAGCCACAATTCCTGGAAGTGCTTTCTATGAAATTATGCATATAATAAAGATTTTGAGACTGTATTTATTAGAAAGAAATTTCTCAGAAGTATTACTGTAAACTGACTTCAGAAGCACTAGTCCCCATTAAAGTCACACTATATTGGCCTATCTTGATTAGAGTGCCATTGCGTTGTCACCCTCATTAATGAGAGGCATCATTTTAGTCTGTTACAGAGGTCACAGTATGAAAAAGCTACAATAGGAATGAGGAGCCCATAGGGAATCTGAAGTTATTCAGGAGTGATTTTCCTTTTATTTGTTTTTTCTAATGTTAAGAGAAGACTTAATTTCCTTCTCCTAGTTGTCATGTAACATGAAAATGTATAAAAATGCTTTTAAGCTATGAATAACATGAGGAATTAGACCATCCACAAGTAAGTAGGAAATCAGTTCCCTGATTTCCAAACTATTTTGGTACCTGAAAACCAAAGCATTTTAGAGGAATTAGCTTTATACACATATTAACATTGCTGCAAATAAATATATTTATTTGAATGGATATTCAAGAAGTTACCCACCCTTTATAAAATGTTTAGTGTTTGTCAAGCTTTCAGATACAATCACGTAATTCAAAAGACATTTTAAGCTTTACAATATATAGAAATGCAAAGTGTATTTTCTATACAGCAGTGCTACGTGATAAAATCTTTTTAACTTTCACTCTGCTTTCAAAGCAAAGAATACCATGGGGCAATATTATAAAGCAAATTGTCTAGCTAGCTGGGATAAATGATGAAAAACTTCCTATAGCTCAAGTTACTTTGTATAAACTGTGTGATTTGTGGAATCTTATAAACCATACACTATATAGAGTACTGCATAGTTGTGCTGTGTGAATGTATTTAATTTCATGTATCTTGTAATCAGGATTGAGCCTCATAATGTTTTCAAGAAAAGACATTTTGAAGAACAAGATATATCTCCAATCTATTATACAAAGTATTAAATGTGTTTGAATTCAGAAGGGCAAGCACTTTCTTTATTAAATTTATTTTTGCTTTTTCTGAGGAGTTTCTAATGTGCCTGTCTTTGGCTTCATTTCTCTTATCTGTTTCCTTTCCTCCATGATGCCCTGCGGCACCAGTGCCAATTCACCTTTTCTACTCTGCAGTGTATCTAATGACTGACGAGTCATACTGTTTTGCTGTTTGAGAGCTCCTTTAAAGCAGGGACAATCAACTATGACAGTCCCCAGCGCATACAGCACAGTGCCAACTACTTAGAAGTTTGGCCAAAAAATACTTCTAGAATAAACAAGTAAATAATGAACAAAATTCCTTCCTTTCCTCTCACTTATGCTCACATTAGATCAACATCCTAATGTTTTCTTGGATTCTTCTTACTAAATGCCTTTTTAATGAGAAAGTTTCTTTGGTACTGTCTTCTTTTCACTCCAGTGAAGCAAAGATGACATTTTAGACTTTGGAAACTTGCGTCATTGGCCTTGTAAATCAAACAAACATCATACTTTTTACATTGACTTTTAATGAAAAATTAAATTATAGCCTTAGAATGTCCTAAAATTAACTTTTAATCCTTACTGGAAATTATGATCTTTTATCTTTTTTTATCTGAACTTGAGACTCTTAACTACTTCATATTTTTCTGCTTTTAGGCACTAATAGGAAATTCTCTCTTCTCTACCTAGGTGTCACAGAAAAAAAAATTGCTACTTAGAAGATCCTTAATATGTAGGTGTTTCTTTGTCAGCACATTTGCTGAGCGGGCCACTTCATGAATTCTCATTCAGCTGTGTGCACTGCTGAATTCTTAAATCTACATAAAAAATGAGCTGAAAAACAAATTCTTCAGAATATCAAATTCTTCTATTTGGTCCAAAAATGTTGATGAGCTTCAAGTCAAGTTTAGTTTTAACATCAATATGTTGGAGTTCAAAGAAGAATAACCCTATTAAACAGAAGCTATAGCTCTATTGCATTTTTTTAAACACCTGGTTAAAAATCACTTGTTAGTTTAGTGGACAAACATAATTATAAATTGATATATACACATTTTAAAGAAATTTCTTTTATTTTAAAGAAATTTCAACAGCTAAAATTTTTAAATTTGTATGTGTCATGTTCTGTGTCATGTGTGGGTCTAGTAATTTAAGAAAAATCCAACCTGAAGCTGAAATCTTCATCTCAGCTGCAGACTGTGCTGTCGAGGAGGAATCAAGTCAAACTCTTCCTCATGCTATTGAGCTAATAATAAAGCTATACTTATGATAATTGTTTTACAAAATAATTTTTACATCTCTTTACAAGTCGCATAGGATATAGCAATAGTGAAGCAGAAAAAATTGGAAAGGAATAAAATCTAGTGGAAGAGTTGACAGAAAGTGATCACGAATTTACAATCTACATTCACAATCCCCTTCTGAATTAGAGAATTTTGTTGAAAATTAGGCATTGATTACTCACATTAGTTTTATTTCTTTACTGTTCATTAGCTATTATCAACCTCTTTTCTGCTCAACAAATTCCTAGTAGTACGTATCATATAATACTTTAAAATTTGATAGCCAAATAAATTAGATATTTTGTCAATGCAAGTATTGGCCCGCACACAGCAAACTTGCTAAAGAGAGGCAGGTTGAAGTTGAGGTTCAGGGATAAGCCTAGTTTTGTGCTATAGTTGTAGTTTGATGAGGTTATTGGCAGTACTAGGTTTTTCATAATGGCCAGGGTCCTTTTCCTTAGTAATCAGATATTCTTCTAAAATTAAGGTAGTTTCTTAATGAAACTTGAATTTTTCATCTCCATATTTTCTTTGACTATTTACTCCTGGTGTCCTCAACGACATTTTGGACTCTAATATTTGAGCTGTTGGGAATAACAACAGAACATACCAAAATGATTTTAACCAAATTCTCCAGATTTCATTCATTTGATGATTGCTTTATTAGTATATATGCATATTTGTGTTAGAATCTCAGTACATGCTCTCATTGTGTGAATTTGTCTGTGTAGTATAAATCTTCAATGATTTCTTTTTCACTTTTATTCATTATTTCTTGTAAAACCTCTCAGGTAAGCAGCACCCATGACAAACTACCCTAGAGCATACTACTGTTTTCCCCATTTCATATCTAAGGAAACCAAGGGAGAATTTGGACAATGTGCTCGGTGTCACCCAGCTAGCCAACCACAGAGCCAAGATTCAAATTCAAGGAGTTTCTGAGTCTTAGTGCAGCAGAATCTGTACTTAGCACACACTGAGAACTTTCCTCACATGTCAGCCTTTGCTAGACTACTACCAGCTCTGTGTTTCCTGCCTTACAGCATTGGATCACTCATGTGTAGTACATATCTTCTCCAATACTGATCATCACAGAAAATTAAAACATAGGTTTTTTGCAAAGCTACCTTCTGAGATCTAAGATTAACTCGTAATCACAGTGATTTAGGCACAGAATTGAGACTCAGATCTGTTTTACCCAAGGATAATAACTAAAGCTTTTTTTTTTTTTTCTCTGCTGGGCTCTTATTGCCTCTGTCCTCTTGATTTACAAAAGCTCTAATCTCTCCAGTTTCCTAGCCAGGGCCTGAGGTCTTCTGGAAATGTTTTCTCCATAAGTGGTTAGGCTTTGCAATCTGATTAGCTTTCATCAACTGACTTCTTTGGAGGCGAGATTATTCCTCAACATGATCTGTAGTTTAGCTCACAGTCTAGGGATATGGTCTCTACGAACATGGCTTTAGGACAAAAATTGTGCCCAGCTGACTTGAATCCTAAAAGATAACAAACAGAGTTATCAGTTAAAATTTTGACTAAGGGTGAACAACGTTGCAGTCAAAACAAAAATGTACCAAAGAAAAGAGCACTGCTGAATCTTCAGTGTGCCATCAGCGGTGCAGATAGCCGGCCATCTGGATTTCTAGCCAATCTTTTCTATTATTTTATTATTGAGATATAACTGACATATCAGCAAAGTCACTTTTTTAAAAGTATGCAAGTCCATGGCTCTTAGTCTACTTAGAGAGAGCTCCCACCAGCTGTCTGACCTAATCTCAAGGCATTTTCATCACTCCCCAGAGAAGCTCCAGATTCCAGTTGAGTTGTCACTTCATTCCTGAAAATATGTTATTTTTTTAAAGTAAACAAAAACTGGAAGATAACAGCTCTCCATAGATCTTTCAGAGAAGTCACAAGGGAAAACTGTTGCTCCTGAACTGAAGAGTGGGCCAGGGCAGAGAATCGCAGCTCGCAAGAGTAAAATCGCACATCCCCAGGACAGCTACAGCCTCCATCTGAGATTGGGCCTGGGAGGCCATGAGCAGCATCAGTATACTCAATCACAGCACTGAGCTGTGGGTACCCCACTCCGATTTTCTTCTGGGCTATACACACAGAGCCTAGCCCAATTCCCTCCTTGATGCTGTCTGCTCCAGAGAGTCAGCTCTTCCACCACCTCTCCTGTTACCACATTCCCAGCCATGATAGTGTGCTGGGGGAAGTACTTTCAGACATTCTCTACAAATTCAACAAATCTCAGCTACTTTGTCTATGCATGACTTTGTGATTTCCCATCACCTCACTCCCGAGGGCCCCTCAGCAACTAGTTCTTTTATCCGCACACAAATTGCCCAGGGTACTCACTGGCACAGAAGCTAGGAAGAAGACAGAATGAAGAAATGCAGAACTTAGACTTGAGGTCTTATTCACCTGGAAGCTGTAAAACCATGACCAGCATTCTATTGAAATAGGAACCTAGGGATCCAGAATCCTGAAGAGTAAGAGGAAAAGATACTGATTTGATGTGGGTTTTATGTGGCCTTGACCTGAAAGAAGATTTTACAATCATGTTTCTTTAATTAACTTCATTAAATGTCATCCTTGGGTGTCTGAAGCTCAAAACTGTGGATATATTAAAACACTTCAATAATGAGAGCGCTCATGGACTTGGGGGAAAAAAAAAAGAGTGAAATCTATTTGCGAGGCTCTTCCCGCTCCTCAGTATCTGTTGTCTGTGGTGCTCCTCATTCGCCCTTTTGGGATTTAGACACAAGAAAAGCAACACAGTGTTTAAACTTGCAAGTCTGAGCAGTTAATTGGTAGGATTCTCACCCTGATTATCTATATATGCTGATACCTGTGAACTAAGCCACTGCACTGAATAGCAATGTGTAATACTATGGAATGCCTGTCTTTCTGGTCTTCTAAATATGTACTGCTTGTCATGTCATATCAATTATTGCTATACTGTCTATCAAGTAAATGTTTGTTTAAAAAAAAAGGGTAATAAATGAAAACAAGAGACAGGAAAATAACCTTGTGAGTCTGATTTATTTCTCAGAAGATTATGGTCTCCAGGTGCATCCATTGACCTACAAATAGTTTAAGAAGGGGAACAAGAGAGACAGGAGGGAGAAGAGAAGGAAGGGAAAAGGAAAATACAGAGAATGGAAGAAAAAATAGAAACAAAGCCATGTAAATGGGAGGGGCAATGAAAGAGAAAAAAATTGAGTTGTAATATATACATATATCACAAATTTCCTCTGATGGGTGTGATAAATATGAGCTAATAAAAAGAATAAAGTTTTTAAAGCAAAATAAACTCCCTGAAGCAGCAGTCAATGGATGAGTCTGTGAATTAGAACCTCCAAGAGACCCAGTCACAGGCTTCACACATTTGTGAGTTTTACCTCCTGAAACTCAACAAAGTCATGTCGAAACTAACAGAAATTAAAATGAACAAACAAAAACAATTCCCTAGTGCTTCTGACAGGAAGATGGGAAAAATCATTTTTAGTCTGAGTGTTCTGTTCTCTGCCAAAGGCTTGATCTTGAGAGGAACTGTCCTACTAGAGCAGTGGTGACAGATCCGTGCGCCGAGAGCCCTAAAACGTTTGGCATCACTACATTAGAGCATAAAGTGTTAGATGTCACGTGACCCAGGAGAAGAGAAATCCAACTCAGACCTCTCCAAGCACTCTATCTGTCCACGTAAGAGACAGAAGCAC